GATGCAGTGTGGTGTACCTTTCTGCTGTACCTTGCTAGGCCTAGGCTTATTATTGACTCAAGGTCGGGGAACCAAGGTAGGTAAACATGACGTTCTCTAAACCGGTCCGTCCGGAAAACCGGTCCGTCCGGAAAACCGGTCGAAGTGGACGGTCCGAAGGGTGGTCGGTATTGGGAGAGTTGACTGTATACTCTATATTACATGAGAAATATGAGACCTTATGATATAAATTAGTAAGCAAATAAGACAACGGTAGTACTTTATAGACTACTTGAAATATTTATTATCACAAGCTTTCATGTACACAGTACACTTCTTCAGGTGAATGATATATATTAGGTATGACATGACTATATTAAAAAGCCATTTTTTTAAATGTGAAAATCTGTTGGTTGTGATATACTACCAATTAATCTGTTGTTATTTATAAATGCAAAGTGCATGCATCCTCTTAGTAATTTCCTAATTCCTAATTTAAAATATTGAAAAATAACAATAGAATAATCTAAATATATCATTGAACAAGTACGGTAAAGTGGATAGCAAATTAACACTTTATAGTGAACTGCTAAAAATTGCTTATGTTAACTATTTAATAAAAAATAGATAGTAAAGTGATCCTATTAACCCCAGTCAATTTTAAAAATATGTGATGAATAAAAAATATCTATATAATTCACAAATATTTACTTTTTACTTTCATAAGCCAGTCTCCCCAAGGGGTATAGGCCGTCGATGATTTCTCTCCAGAGTCCTCTTTCTTTGGCTTTCTTTCTCTCCAGGTATAGCCTGTCCTCTTGATGTCTGCTTGTAGGTCTCTTCGCTAGGTGTTTTTTGAACGTCTTCTCCATTCACCTTGCGGGTTCCGAGCCTGTCTGGTGATGCTAAATTTGAGTTGAACAATCTTATTTTTGTTTTCTGTGATAAAACCTTTGAGTTCCATATGTTTTTTAGCTGTAGGAATGTTGTTCTAGCTTTTCCAATCCTCAGTGCTCTGACATCTGCGTCTGAGCCACCTTGCTTATTGATATAAAAAAGAAGCGGTTTGGCGCAGCATGAAAGATTTGGTTTCCCAACCTTGAGGTCGGGGTTTCAATCCCTCGCTGTGCATTTCGCTTGTGTTCTTGAGCAAAGTATGTAAAGGACTCAACTTCTTCTAACGTATGTCCTTCTAGAATGACCGGTGCATTTACTTGATGTATTTATTTTCTTTTGTTTTTCCCTTATGAATGTTGAGGCCCACTGAACAAGACATATCTGCAATGGTTGAGGTCTTATCTTGCATCTGGTATCCGTTATTGGACAAGAGTTCCAAATCGTCCGCAAAGTCCAGATCATCAAGTTGATTCCACAAGGTCCACTGGAGCCCATTTCACCTCTGATCTGCAGATGTTTTCATGATCCAATCTATGACTAGGAGAAAGAAGAATGGGGACAGCAGGCAACCTTGCCTGACTCCCGTCTTGACTTCAAATTTCCTGGTTACCATTCCTTCATGCATCACACTGCAGTCCTGCCGTCATAGCTGTTCCTAATTATACTTACAATATTTGTGGGCATCCCAGAATGTTGCAATAATAATAAAGTGTCTCCCTGCTTGTTGCTCTCTTAGCTGAGGGTCTATTGCATCTCTATAGTCCTTCTAAGATAATTCTATCAAAGACTTTTCCTGGCACTGACAGGAGGTTTATTCCTCTGTAGTTGAAACAGTTGCTTAGGTCTCCCTTTTTTTGAAGCTTAATAAGATATAGCCCTCCTTTTTTTGGCCCATTTATATTTTGAATAAAATATCATATTTTGATTTGTTGAGTCATTTAAAATTATTGATAGTGACTTTCATTCTTAATACAGCATTGATAATAAAGTACCACTATGAACGAATGTAATGCCTACATTGAATTTTTCTTTGGTTTGAACTAGGCTTGCACTTGTGATTAAATCATCTTTTTTTCAATACAATAATATTTATATGCAAAATAATAGTAACTTCCCAAGTATACAGGCTAAAGCCAATTATATACTAAAAAAAAATACTAAAATAAATTTAAAAATCGTAGTCGTATTCGACTCATTGGCCTTCGTTAAAACACGCCGACCTGCGCAATGATAAAATCCTACTTAACAAAGACGATCAGTTAAATGGCTGCATAGTTACCGCGATACATGCTGCGTAAATCAAGGCTGCTTCGAATTGTGGCAGTATGGTTTTT